TGGTTCATATTATAAGACGAACTTAACAGTAAAATGGTGAGACAAAATATTTTGGTCAACTTCAAATGGTTTATATAACTTAAAAAACATATAAATATAAACATGATATATGCAAAATATTAATATTGTTATGCATCCTGGTTTTTCTAGCAAATGGATATAGGCAAAAATCCATCCATTTTACTTTCTTAATAGATATAGGCAAATGAAAACATATGGGCCGGTCACCCCAACTACAAGATGAATGTAATTAAAAGATAATTAACACCCACTCACTGCCTAATTACAATGATAAAGACGTAGTCGTACGTTTACTTCAGATAATATTGTGCTTTTTAAGCACTTCTGGTTTTATGTCAAGAATTGGCCCAATCCTTTCCCTCATTTTCCATACCAAGCTCTTAAGCTAATTCAATATTTATCGTGTGATCCAATATGTATTCTGCAGTTATAAATACATTCTGTATGTTGACCTTATTAAAACTATTCTATAACATATATTTTAAAGCAATCTTAAATATAAATATTAGCTACTATCATTGAGCGAATTGCTTATGGCATCAGTATTTACTAATTTTCTTAGTAGAAGTCACAAGTTCGTTAGTTAGTAAAGATAGAGAAATATTGGAGATAGTAAAACAAATATACTTTGAAGTACTTTGATCATATCTTAGGCACTGAAAGAAATATGGTCTGCTTACGTTGATTATAAATGACCAAATTAAAGGAAAACGGTGCCTGGTACATGAGAGATGTCGTGGCTTTACAATCTACAACAATAGTTTAATGAAAATACAAAATCGACAAAACAAGCATCTTATCAACATTGAAAGCGGATTATATATTTAGAAGAAGAAAAAAAATTTTCTAATGATGGCAAATATATAAAAATAAACTTTCTAAAGTGCCTGAACTGCTCGACGATATTCGAATAACATTTAAAGCATAAAATAATTCTATATACTTCTGGAAATCATCTCATATTTTAGCTTTGAATATATTTTTAATGTGTCCTTTTAAATAATTTAATTAATTTTTTTAATTATTTTTTACTATATTTTTTGAGTTCTATTAAAGAACGAACCTCTCCAAAACAATAGTTGCTTAAATATTCTCTAAAAAATATTAAATACGTTTAAAAGCAAACTAGAGAAAAAAAAATCAAAAACGTTTTAAAGAATCAGTGTTTTTAGTCCAATAAAATATACTGAAGAATCACAATTTTATGTTTAAATTTTTAATATTTTTATTTACTCACAAAAGCCTTAAATACTATAAAAAAATAATCAGAAACAATGAGCTTATTTTTTTTAATCAATTAATTACGTTTTTAATCAGTTCACGAAAGATAAACCGTTTTCGTTTATTTTTATTACATCTTCTAAAAAATATTGGTCAATTTTTGTTCCAAAATAAAAGAGATTAAATTAATCAATTACAGATATTCTAGGTTAGTAGTTACACTGCTGCTATTGTGTATAAAACAATTTCAATTACAGTCCTTAAATAAAATAGATTATTAAAGTAACTTATCAGTTAAACAAAAAAAATTTAAAAGTGGGGTTCTAGTGTGTGCAGTAATAAAAGTAATTACTAAATGAGTCCCCAGTAGATAACTAGCCGTGCTAATTTTGCTGGCAGCATTCCGTTAATATAGAAAACTTTGGTTGGACATAGATAAGCACTATAATTACCCCATCAAGCATATCATATAAATTTGATAGGTACTTAAGAGGGAATTAAGTTAAATACTAAGTATTTTTAATTTACTTGCTCAACTCATGGGAACTTATTGGGAATGATAAGCATTTTAAAATTTAATATTAAAAGTAAACCTATGACGTTATAATCTCTTTAAATTTCTAATATTAAAATATTATATATCAAATAAGTTTTATTTATAATGTATATTTGTTACTAAATACAGAAATTAATCATAAACGAAAAATGAAAGCACTGCTGTTGAGCTATATAGGTATACTTAAAAGTATTGGAGTACGTTTTTCTTATAGTTGATAATAAATCTAATGTTATCAAAATTCGTTTATACATTATATATAATAAATTCATTAACATTGTTAATATTTATTTATAAAATATGGTAAAATAACTACATCTTTATACAAATAAAGAACACAGTTTAAGATTCCTCTACCCAAATGAATTTTAAGTAACAACCTAAGAACTAACGTCCTTGGTGTATACATATATGAAGTGTATATCTTGAGAGTTAAGTAGATACAGATGACCAAAATTTAGAAACTTTCGAGTTAAAACTAAAGTTTACGTAGTCTTCAATCTAAATTGAAAATTTGAGAATGAGAGCAAGAGAGAAGCTCGACCACACTTCGGTCACAGTGACTAGGCTTTCTCGAGGTATTTATTTTTTAATTGTATTTTAAGATTACTTAAGAAATATGCTTATATTTATTCATTTGATTATAAAGTATAATACTTGCTTCACATCATTTTTGTAGCAACTGAACTTACTTAACGATTACGTTAAAAGAAAATAACCAATTTACAATAACAATGATGTTGTTTTGTGTACTACATAAGTTTACATAAAATTGATTTTAGTAGGTAAAGCAAAATAAAAAAAATTTGATTAATATGAATTATTGAAAATTGAAATTTTTAAATTAAATAAAAATTTCTAACTTAATAATTTATGTGAAGGTTATATCAAACAAAAAGTAAATCAACTTGATAAGAAGAACATTTTCAACGTCAGATTTAATTAATTTAGTAACTGACATTGTGGATTATTTTTCACTCAACACTTATTTTGAAGATATTAGTTATTCAAAATTTTGCGGTATACTGTGTTTGAGAAACGTTACTAATTTTTCATTTTTATATATAAAAATTTTTTTTTTTCATTTTCAATATATACACGATGTAAGCATGTATATATATGCAGGACTATACCGTGTAACTTTGCAGGAGAGCAGTGATATTCGTCGAAGAAATTAAAAAAATTAATAAGGAGTGTGGTAATTGATTCTACACTGACATAAAAAAATCGTATAGGAGTGTGGAAGAGTAGTTTATTTCCGATATTAAATGCTTGTACCGCACTTAAGTGTTAAAGAAAATACTACAATAAAGCGACTATCAGTCAAAGAATCTTTAATTCAAATGAGGTTTACGTAAAAATAATAACTTTCCTTATAGTAATAATAGTATACATAAATTTGTCAAAAGAAAGAGTACGCTTAATGTCGGAGTACTGAACCACAAATACATGGATGCCTAGAGTTGACATTTGAAAGAGTTACTACAGAAAGGTACCTGTGTAAGTGCTTTGTTGTAGAGTTCGCAAGGACACTTGCTTCTTTTCATAAGGTTCGTAATGTCAGTTAGTAAGAACACTCAAAATTAATTATTTTAATATCACTAAAATTGATAGAGAATAGCTTAACTTCCGTTCTGTATTTGGATGACTCCATTATTCTGAATACAATGAAAACTAAAACCTATTTGTTGTGTACCTTATGAACCAGTAGCAGTGTGTTAAAGTCTAGTTAGTTTTTTTAATGGATTGATGACAAAACTGTACAAGTTAATTATTTCGTTTCAAAATATGACAATAAACTTGACAAAATCTTAATTCACTTTTATAATAATTAAAATAATGTTAGTTTAGTTTTTGGTATTAAAAAAAACATAGATCTTGAACAAAATTTAAGTGAAACATTTTAATATGTGCTGAAATGCCTCAAAATGATCAAAATTCCTTTACAAGAAATACAAATATTGTTATTTTACTTTTAATAAATATTTAAAATTCAAACGAAAAATGTTAACAGGTTTCTATGTCTCAGATAGATCAGTAATACCATAAAAGAATATAAATACAGGTATATAATTTAAATGTTTTAATTACTTTTAACTGTAATTTAATGAGTTTACCATAAATTAAGTATTAACCTATTTTTATTCAATTTTATTTTTAAAATAATTCTTTGTGTGCTTTTTATGATAAATGAAACTTTCTTAATGAAAGTTCTTTATTCTATAGACACCCTTCTCCACCGAATAACAATTTAACCCGTTTCCTTCAGGAGAAAGAAACAAAAGTTGGTAGGACACTATTCGCTAAAGTGAACTTCACTTTATAGACTTTCGTTTTAAAAAATTGGATTATTCTTTTATTTTAAAATATCAGATTGATTTTAATAACTTTTAATTAAGAATTATTTTATTATTTAGTATTATTATTTATTCCCGAACCCATGCACTTAATACGAGTAAGCAATAAAAATGTTGGGCAAATAATTAATTTTATTGATTCACTTAAAGTTTATAAAACAAATAATAAAAACACAGAAAAAAAATAATTTAGTTCAGAAAAGAACTTCAAGAATAAATCTCAATCCACGATTAAATTATAAGATTTATTTCATTTATAAAAATATTTATATATGTAAATTAATTTATTTTAATTTAATTTAGTTTTATAATATAATTTCAAATTTATATTTTAATATTTTATATATTTTTTTAATATTTAAAGAATCCAATATTTATTTTATTTAATTTCGTGTTGTTTATTTTAATCATTTTATTTTTTTTTAATTAGAAATTTTTTAAATAACTTATATATTTAATCATTTTTTATTTACGTCTAGCGTTGAAGATATTTATTTTCAATGAATATTCTATATATACATATGTATTAATTGAGTCGACACAAAAATGTAGATAAAACACAAAATTTATTTAAATACAAAATATTGATAAAACATGACACTTTTATTTTTAATTTAAATATTTTTATTTGGTTTGTTTATTATTTTTTTGAACATAAAAACACAAAGTTTTTAACAAAAAAAATCTTTATAGACGAATAAAAGCATATTCATAAAACAAAACTTAATTGCGGTTGGACGTGCCTTAAAATTCTCAACTGAAAACACTTAAAAAACTTTTATTTTCTAAATCTACTATTATTAATTGGAATTAATTTGAAGATAACATTTAAAAAATTTACATACTTCAATACGACTTTCACCGAATGCCAACTCGCTCACTTCTGAGCTGTTAACTGATTGCATCGCCATTTTTATATGCACAGCAACCCAAGCACTTCAGCGAAGAGTTTATAATCTCACACGACGAACCTGACATTTTTATCTACGAATTTTAAAAAAAAACATCAATAACAGCAACAACAGCAATAACAACAACAAGTATAACAAGAAAATAACAAGAACAAAGTCAATATGTAAAAATAATACTTAGAGAGTTATAAGCCTAAAAATTTGTTAACTAATATATGTACATATTTTATTACTACACACACCTGTGTAAAGCTTAAATGATTATTGTTTAAAATGAAGGCAAAGATTAGAAAACAACAACTTTATATGGAATGTATTTTTCAGGTTGATAACTCTGACGCAAGACGGCATTAATAGCAATAGTTTTATATAGTTATAATGCTACAATTTTGTATTCTTTAGATGTATATGTACTTATAATATTTATTGTTGCTATGCTCGCCTACTTAAAATTTTAGGCAGACAAAGACTAATAACAACTTGAAATTGTTTTAATAAAAACGAGGAGATAACAAAAATAAAAAATAACTTTGCACCGAAATTTTAATTTTTCAGGTTGATAACTTGAACATTGAAATCAATATAAAAATGCGCAATAAATAACTGCCCGTCTTGTCGAATATATAGATGCGCTTCTTTTTTAAATTTATAAAAAAAAAATTTTTTTTATTTTCAGCATACGAAAAAATTTTTATCTATTTTTGAATTTCATGAATGTTCCTCAAACATTAATATTAAATATTTTTCAATATATAACTTTTTTAATTTTATACTATATATGTTATGTTAGTTTTATAAGAATGAAGCATATTCATAATATTAAACAATACGTACTTTTTTTTTTGTAATTAATGAAGTGATTTCATTTTAGAAATTAAGTGTTCATTCTTGAATTTCTTATAGGAGTGTGATATATATTATATATAATTATATATACGGTAAAATTTCATATATAACACAGTCATACTGTCTCATTTAGGTGGTTTTGCTCATTATAAGAATTATTTACAGCACAAAAATCTTTCATAAAAATGAGCTCATTATCAATAAATCAGCTCATTTGAGGAGAAAAATATCAAATGCAGCACTTAAAAATAAATTTCCCATAAGGAAAATAACCAATTAAATGAAATATGTATTATATGTTTTCTATGTAAAATGTGAACAAATAACATCTAAGCTGTAAACAAAGACACTGAAGATGTGCTATGATATATGACTGATTTAATATATCAATTACATATAATTTTTTTGTGTGATATATTGTTGAATAAAGTTTATAAAAGTTCTATCAGTTGCATAAATAAGCTCATTATAATGTGAACGTTCAGTCATTAATATAAATAAGCAAGTGCCAAAATGAGATAGTGTGAATGTACTAATAACCCCCGGTTTATATTGCATATTCATTCCTACGAAACTGGGTACAAATTAAATTGGCATGAAATTAACCCATATTTACAGTACAAGACAGAAATGGGTTCTACTAATAATAAGTCAAAATAAAAAAAAAATTTATTTATATATATCTTAAAATTTATTATATTATATACATATATTATACAATATATCTCAAAATATATTGCATTAATAATTTTTTATGAATTTGTAATTCATAAAGATATGCACAGTCCATACATAAGCTAGTGTATTATTTCTTGAAACATCTATATCGTTAGTCAAAAAATCCCAATTAATTATATAGAAAAGAAGTTGTTTCAATTCATTTATATTGGAAAAACAAAAAAGAAAAAGAAAAATCCTCTTTTGCGAAATCAATTCATAATATATATTCTAAGATAAAATGAAATTAAATGTTTTCAAATGAAATGTTTTCAAATGTCTTTAAAAAAAATGAAATGATCAGACAAAGCCAAAGCAGACAAAAACACAACATAAACTTCTTTCTATAGATTTGTTACCCTTATTCTTTTTCTCTCCAAGGTATTTTAAATAATATTTCTAACAAAGTTGGAGTCATTCCCTAGTGAACATAATTTTATCTCTTCTCTCCAATTTTAGTTTAGAGAAAATTACGAAATCATCTAGCAAGAAAATCGATTATCAAAACAAATATAATTTGGGTTTGAGCGTAGGGACTACTATTTTTCAGTGTCCAGTCTCTTAAAAAACGTTGCTAGGCGTTAACTTTTGATAGATTATAATGGACTTATTCATAAAATCTGTGTGTCACATATTAATTTTCTTTCGTCAATGCTGTGCAGCAAATCTCTATGTTAGAAAAAGGTTTTAAATATCTTGATAATCACTTTTAGGAGAAAAATATATAACCCAATGTCGTAACAAAATCAATGAACAGAAATACCGAGATGTTACATCCATCCTTAATAGAGTACTTCAATTACACTAAATAATCTACACTTAATAATACATGATGCATATATGGTATAGTCCCCATTTTAATGGACTCTTCAAATAGAATATTAACATGGCGTAAGTACATGGGAACAAAAAGATGTCTACTCAAACGATGTGATATTAAACTGCTCTAGCTCTTCAACAACCGATCCTTATTATGACAAGAGTAGAATATATATCTCTAATACAACGGCATCATTTAACTATTTCAATCATTTGTTCTTCTACTATAAAGCTTAAATTAAAGGTTAGTTATGTTATCTATATAGTTGTCTTATATAGATAGTTACATAGTTAACTATATAAGTTTTAATTTCTTTTAATCCTTATTATGACAAGAGTAGAATATATATCTCTAATACAACGGCATCATTTAACTATTTTAATCATTTTTTCTTCTACTATAAAGCTTAAATTAAAGGTTAGTCATGTTATCTATATAGTTGTCTTATATAGATAGTTACATAGTTAACTATATAAGTTTTAATTTCTTTTAATCCTTATTGTGACAAGAGTAGAATATATATCTCTAATACAACGGCATCATTTAACTATTTTAATCATATGTTCTTCTACTATAAAGCTTAAATTAAAGGTTAGTTATGTTATCTACCTATATAGTTATCTTATATAGATAGTTACATAGTTAACTATACAAGTTTGAATTTCTTTTAAATTTTTTGGAAATTTTAATTTATAAAAATTCAATGTTTTGTGTATGAATTTTTAAAACTATTATCTCATTTGAAAATATTATTATGAGACTTTAATATTTATTATTCAAATATTATTTTAAACTTAAATTTGTTGAGCACTTTCTAAGTATATTACAATGTATTCAATTTTTTTATTTATGTGCTCCTGCATAATTGCTTAAAATTTTGCTATGCATATTAATAAAATATTGCAGTTTAAAATTACTTAAATATTAAATAAATTATGCAAAAAATAATTCATTGTCGACTGATATAATGCATAAGACCTAAGACTATGCAACATAAGGCCCATATGAACGGAAAAACTAAACCCGTTTTAGAGAAAATTTGAGTAGTAACAGTTTAGTGACATCAACATTAATGGCACTATAAGGAAATAATTATCTTTTGAATATAATTTTTAATACAAATAAAAACAAATTACTGCTAATATCAAAATGTGTACAATAAATATTCATAAAATATATATATTACAAATGCATATGTTTCTACTAGTACATTCTATTTCATGCCCCCATGTTTACCTAATAAGAAATTTTATTTTTATTAGTTGTAAATAAATTTGATTACTCTAAACATCTATTCTATTGTATTGAGATTACAGATTAAAATTGGAACTTATTTCTAAAATGATTTGATTTCTTCAAGAATGTACTCTTCTGTCACTACCTCAAAAATATCAATCCATTGAGTTTTTTCAGACGAAGAGAAGTAGGCTTTCTGAGAATATATTTAATTTTAGACCTCTTCTGTCACTACCTCAAAGATATCAATCCATTGAGTTTTTTTAGACGAAGAGAAGTAGGCTTTATAAGAATATGTTTAATTTTAGACTTCATAACTATGTTATTAGGCACTATAGATTTAACATTTAATTAACAAATTGTAACTTGATTTGGCGAGTGAGATGTAAAGAATTCTATATTGCTATTAACTATATGGACACAATACTGACCAAATAGTACAACACAATATTAAAGAGATCTGAATTGTGTTGATCTGCAGATATAGAGCCCAATAGTACATAAATCTTTATATTCTCCTCATTGATTTTAACTCTAACGATTAAGTAGATTTTTAGTGCAATTTTATTGAATTATTATTGCAACTGTGGGAATGAAGACAAATCTAATCGGTATGTTCTTATCAAACACGTATTGCCATATCGATTATTGTCGACTACCAACATAACATTGAATTAAATAAGCACTCTTTACGCTGGATATCTTTCTTTGTTATAAGATTATTGCGTGGATAATACGGCCTTCACAATTTTTATAATTTTATAATTTTATAAAAATTGTGACACTTAAAGAACACAGACAGACAAATGAAGGTACAGACATTAAGTTAGTTGGTAACTCATTGATGTAACATCATTCAACATTGCAAATAGAAATATTGAGTCAATTATCTTTGCAAAGTCTAGAATTGCAAGGTAATACGAAATGTAAGGTCTAATTCTATTAAATTGAGTTCTCTGCGATAATGTGATTAAAACAGCAAAAATTAGACCAATATTAAGTATATGGATTATATCTCTCTAAGTTTTAGTTCCAGAACATGTTTTAAATATGTATTAAGAGTGCGTTAGATAATATAATTTATATGTTAAAAATATTAAAAAACTACAATGTAGATGTAGCATTTTTTTAAAATGGAGAAATGTGATCCACAGATCAACCAGAAAGTAAATGAATAAAAGAGAATAATAATATTATTAATATGCATATCAAAAGGATTTTAAATTATTACTTTAATATATTATATATTTTATCCAACTCATATCTAAAACAATTTAAGGCCCAATAATATTTGTATTTCCCTGAAGAAATCCTTGCATCTCATAATGTTTGAACCACATGGAAGCAGATTTTTTGCATAGTATGCAAAAGGACTATATATAGATAAGTATTTTGCTTTAATCTTCATTAGGGTAATAATTTATTTATTTATTATTATTTTTTATTATTATTATTTTTTATTATTATTAGTTTTATCAAAATTTAATAATAATTAAACTAATAATCGATTTCCATTGCTTTAGACCTCGTTTTTCTAACGAGATCTAAAGCAATCGGAATCGCAGTCACGATATATTCTGAATGGAAAGATGTTAGAACACATATAGATAAATATATCTATAAATATATAAATATGTATGCTAAAACATATAAAAATTGAATATAAGCTATGATTACTTATGTCGTCTATTCCTAACAGCAACCAATAAACAAAAAAATCTTGACTTCTGTTGTAAGGTTAGCCGTGATTTCGCTAATACCTAGAATACAAATAAAATAAATCTCAAACATAGCAAAAATTTTCATTTTCTTAAAGTGTGATTAAAAGTTGGGAACCTATCATATTATCGTGTATAAAGACAAACCATGAAAAATTTTTCTTACGGCCTTATGGAGATTATGGTAACAGGACTAATAATACTTTCTGACTGATCTATGTTTAATTTTCATTTGAAACAATTATTCTAGTCTATTGTAGTTTTAAATTACTAATGTATTTTAATATTATCACAATAGTATTTTGATTAATTACTATTAAAATTAATGTCATACAATATAATTGAGTTTTATTTAATATTGAATATTGTTGGGACAACTTAACATATATGGTTATGATAATGATTATGGTTACAACTATTTAATAAAATAAGGAGCAAAATGATTGGATTCAAATTTTGTCTGGTCATAGAACACTTTCAATTTATTTTAAACATAACTTTTCCAATTATTATGCCTAGCAACCTAAAGAATTAAACACAAGTAGTACAAATTTTACATATATTAAGTACTAATGTAAACTAATCTTCATAAACTTATAGGTAAATTTTAATACTCTTTAATAAAATTAATTCCAATGTCAGGAAAATATCGATTTCAAAACGGTCATGTGAAACATAATATTCAGCATAATATTGCAAAAGTAAGCACCGAAGTTATCAACCTGAAAAATTGTTATCACAAAAGTTTTCACATTCTTAGAAGCGACAATCTTAAAACTTTTTTAACATAGAACTGACATCATAATCTGTCTCTGTAGTATATTAGGCCTAGAGAAATTAATTTTTTAATTGTGTGTGTTAAATTGTTCAGATACACTTGCTATTTTTGTCATACATGTGACCTATAAAATATATATATATACTGTTGAATACCAGTCTACAACTTGTAAAATAGACATATCTACTTTGGAATAGTTAAATGACTCGTGGGTATAAATTTAAGTCAATCTAACTGACTTTATCATTATTCATCCAATAATTCTTAATAACTATGAAAAACAATTTAATAAACTTATATTACGACAAATATATATTACATTCTGAGATTATCTTAATATCTATAATAGTCTATCATGAAAAAAATCACATGACCAGGCCTCACAAATAAGAATTGAATCCATTGATATATTATCTGATCATTTCTGCATATGGTTACCGAATTTATATACACATGAAAATTTCTTCACATTGGGATTATGTTCACAGGACATCAACTACACTGTTTACTAAACCGTAATTCGTCTTGTTCTAGTGTATAGATCTGAAGTGTGGACATAAACAAAAATAGTTCAGAATCTACCAACTTGTTTTTTTAAGCATAATCACTATGGAAAGTATATAACCCGTTCTGGAATGTAAATGGAGTCTGTATAAGGAGCAGTTATATCTCTCTTAAGAATAAAATATGGCAAGATTCATGGATGAATGTTGTCCATAAAGACATATAACACTACATTTTGTATAAAATGTGGTACTTATTATTAATTAAGTAGTTAATGTTAGTATAGTTCATTAAGTTAATTATTTAATACAGTTAATTAATAGAGCTAGTTTCAATAATGAGAATATGCCGTTAGTTATTATATTATTCATGTTTTTATATAAACTGAAAAATTTAGTATAAAAAGTTAAAAAGTTAAATTGACACAATACTATTACTGAAGCGTCACGAATCGATGACGGATCTTAGCAAATTTCATGCTATATGAAATTTTTGAGGTCCTTGTAGAGCGTAATTACGGAAGAAACACGAACGATTTCGTCGAGATAACAGACCAGTAATTGTAAAGAGTTGTACTTCATATTATTAAATAAATCGATAAAAAATTGAGCTGAATATATAATATCAGGGGAAAGCTTATAACACCTGATAAAGTATTTTTCTACTAGGGATAACAAAAAGTCACCTAAATGGTCGATATGAGAAAACTTGTAGATGGCTGAGTTGGGAAAGTGTCTACAATCGTGTCTGCGCTTTTTTAAGCCCTGAACTTAAGAACCAAATTATATATGCACATACAGTAATAGAAAAAATTGCTCAGATTTTACGATTCTATTGAAATCCGACATTAAATTACAGCGCTTAGTAAACTTTAATTGTCTGATATATTTAAATATCGATTTTTGATTCAACCAATCAATTAATTCTAAACACAAACTAATATATTATATACACAATCAAAGAGGTTTATTTGAAAAATATAATTCAATGCTATCAAAAAAAAAATGTGCCTTGTTTTTATATATTACATTTCTAGTATTGAAACCACTCCAACAACAATTACATTTAACATAATTTATATCCAAATAAATACTAATTGTTATAATAACTATTATATTACAAGACAAAATTTAATATTAAACTGCTGATATAAAACTCTAGTTTTTTAATATATTTTTATATATATTATAAATAATACATTTTTTATTTTTCCAATTTTTTTCTTAAATATATTAAAATAATATCCAAGATTGCAAATAAATCATATACATTACTTTTTATTAAATAATTGTTTATATGAAATTTATATACTAACAACGTAATTCGTAAAAGTTATAGAAGGTTTATAACACTGTTTATCAAAATTTTTATGAATTTGACTGTAAAAATTTTTTATTATATTTGTTTTTATTATTTAAATTTCATAAATATTATTTTGAAATATAATAAATAATATTTTAATCAATCCGTTATATGTGGATTCATAAAATTATATAATATTATAACACCCTGTTTAAAATGTCAAAATATGCCATAAGCTGAATGCTCTAAAATCCACAGTCAAAGAAAAAGAGAACACAACAAAAGCGATTGCCTGACAGTTTTCAAAACCTCTGTGTTTTTATTAAAATTAGGCAGTTCTTTGTAACATGTCCAGCGCTGGCAATGAAAAAATTATAACAAACTCTGCGATGAAAACAACACTACCTGGCGGAGCAACAATGCTCAACGGATTAAATGCAATACCGAAATTATCTTCACTGAAACCAGCCAGAGATTTAACATTGGGTGGACGAGGAACCGCTGGTGTCACCAAGAAAGTGTTTACTCCAAATTTAAATGTAGTGCGAAATAAAAATACGTAAGTAAAATATAATATAGAAACAAATAAAATTTTAATATATTATCGCATAATTCTGTAGTAATGTTAAAACATCGAAAGACACCACAGCACGTGGTCGCAATCGTGGCCGACCAGAACGTGGAGTACGTGGTGGTATCGGGCGTGGTGCACGTGGTGGTAGCTTAAATTATATACAGACAGCTGGTTTATTTTCGGAAGGAGCTGGCGAGGTAAATATACGTAAAGCATCCTATAGTCGAAATACGGATGATGCGCCTTCGACAATGCGTAAACCAACAGTCGTGAAAAACGAAAGTAAAAATATTGACATAAAATTGGACGCGGCGCAAGTGAGCGAATTGCTTGGCGATTCCGATGACGATGACTTTCTATTGAATAAGACTGAAATGGGACTGTTTCCTGTGAAATTAAATGAATGTAAGTGAAATATGAATTCTATTAAAAATTGTTGTAAATTTATTGCGGTGACTTTTACTGCTCCTTGGTAGTCACACACAAAACTGCACAAACAACAAACAAACAACCACAAAATGCCATTTAGAAAGCGAAATTTCATTTCCTCTCATATAATGATTTTCTTGCTTTCGTCTGAGTGTTTACAATTTCATTGTAAAATTTCAATGAAATTTTTACTACATTTGTTAGTTTTCTTCTACTTTTAATTTTTAACTACTATTTATCACACTTTTATGTTCACCTTGATCTATTTAACTTGCTTCTACTACAAAAGTAAAGTGGAAGTGTGTAAAACCTGAAATTAAATTGGAATTTCCAATTCCAAATGCTGATGTAATAAAACTGGAGGGTGAGTCGTAGAGTTAATTTTTTTAGCTAACACATGAATCGCTTAGATAAATTCGCCTTAAAGTATTCATTTTTGTTTTGTATTGTTTTTCATCTTTATCTTTTAAGTTCAGTATATTCACTGTACAATATTCCATTTAATCATCATTAGTGTTCTGTACATACACTAATTCAACATATGTAAAAATATTATATAAATCTATTATTATTATTTATTATTTTGCATTAAAAATAAGAATAAACACAATAGATAATAACTGTATACCTTTCGTCTATAAAATAGATGACGTTACGCGAGATATTCAAAATTTACATTTACCTCAGAAGAAACAACAAAACACTTCGGGTGATGCTCGACAACCACACACGGTAGCTGAACTGCTAGCATCAGAAAAAGCACCAATTTTTATTATGCAGGTATGTACAATGGATAAATATATATCTTTAATTACTTTTTTTAAATCTCACAAATACATATTTTTAATTACTTATTCTTAATCTTTCCTTAGTTTCCTGATGCATTACCTTTTGGAGTTGATGGTTCCGATTCTCCAGAGAAGGATAATGAGGTAATTTTTGACATACCCATAAGCGATCTTGAAAAATGTGTAAAATTTAAATTTATTTTCAAAATTATTAATGAGAAAGAAACTGCTTTTTTCTAATTATAAGTCGAATCGTAATGAATTACAATACAACTGTTTCGAATAAATCCAAACATCAATAATGTAGTGATCTTTAGAAATTATTTTTAATATTATTATTGTGTATATATAGTTTCGGATTCGTAATAAGTATTTCTCTTTAAAAATGTGTGGTTTAAACGCAAAAGAGTAACTACCTTCTTTTCATTACATATGATTGGTTGGTTGCAGTGTCAGCACAGCAGATATTTGCTGCATTTAATTGGAGACATTAGATTGTTGTACTGTCACATTCCGTGCAAAATACCTATAACGATAAAAGTATAATAACTTAATGTGGAATTTAAGTATTTTAACACATATTTCATAATTACAGACTGTTTCCTAGAACAGTACCCAGGGCCAAAATCTAGCAGAGCCATAAAATATTGTTATACCCCATACCGTTAAAACAATCATATACCTGTTTTTTGTGTGTTTATTAGGATCAATGACTTTGTCGGTTGAAAACAAGTGGCTCTTTGGCGTAGACCGAGCCATAATAGAGTTTTGTAGATGCATTAAATATTAAAGATTATAAACTTTATAAGTATTTTTTATGGTACTGTTAAAAAAATATTGTTATGATATTATATCGTTATTTCAGAGCATATAAAATAATTTTACCAAACAAGTATTCAACCTGTCCAGATATTTTTAATATTAACGTTTATATTTCTTCTTAAACAATTCTTATGATACAGTTTTTACTCTTGTAAAAGTACGTTTTGGTATTTGGTAATATGGGCATTAATAATAAAATGGTTATTGAAAATTAGTCAGAAAGAGAAATCTCAACTTGTTCTACTAACATTAAAAGTATTTTAATTCACTCTTGTGAATCGTGTTCATTGGCGCTCAAGGAAGAGACACTAAAACACCTATTGTGTCACTATCCAAACTTATCCAAAAAGAGTCATAAGTTAATGGACGATCCACTCTTTAATTCACTCAATAAGTAATCCAACACTGAAATTGGCCTAACACTTGGAGTCATCAAGTCCGGCTGATTTTATTACGCCTAAACTTGTGACCTAAAATACTAAGAATTTGGAATCTAAACGGATTCCTAGCTAATTTTTAGTTTCGCTAATTAACGAAGACTCGATTTATATTCTACTTTAATTGTATACCTAAAGTGATTTCGACTTAAATGATCATTTAGTATAAATTATATATTTATAAGGAGTTTAAACCAAAATTTATTCATATCTTTTATATACCTACACAAAAAGAAGTATATTTTTAACATATTTTATTTGCTCTTAGTTCTCTCTATTTAATAGAGATTCGGCTATTTAAGTTCTTAATTACTTAATAAACATGGATGTACACATTAAAATTTTACCATTAAATTCTACATAAGATTATATATATGAAAATAATAAGTGTCTGAATATCATCGTTTACTTCTGAAAAGTTATTAGAATTTCAGTATTATTTTTAAAGAAGGAAAAAATCTAATTTATTGATTTTGTTTAAAAATAATTGAATTATAAAAAAAATTAGGAGTATATAATTTAATATAAATATTTTTAATATTTTCAACGGAAGACGTATATGATGTTTTATATAAATTTAATGGTTTTGTTTAAAAATAATCAAATGAAAAAATGAGCATATAATTTAATATAAATATTTTTATTATTTTGTAGGAACCAGCGAAAGTATCAACATCTGACACACCTGCCAGCAAAACAAACAAAACTTCGATTTACTCATTAAAAAATAAGCCTGAAGGAAAAATAGGAAAATTAGTTCGATATAAATCGGGCAAAACGAAACTAGTCTTAGGTGATTCACATTTCGATGTAGAAATGGGCATTAATACAGGATTCCAACAAGTAAGACATTAATTTAATATATCTACAATGAAAGCTCTCTTAAGCGGACACCGGTGAAATCACCAATTCTCTTCAGTTAATAGAAGTGTCTGTTTACTTACTTTACTGTTACTAGCAACTTTGTTCGAAATGTCTGTTAATAAAGACCTCAGTTTAACAGAGCTTTCACTGTATATCAAATATTATATGCTTATAATTAATTTATAATTTTTTCTTATTTAGTATTTAATGTCCATTGAAACAAATCGAGAAGAACGTAGTGGTAATATGATTAATTTGGGTCCATTAATGGGTCAATTAACAGTTATACCAGATTGGGAATACTTTCTGAAAAAAGAAGAGGAACAGAATAGAAAAAGAAATGATGAAACATAGTATAGTATAATATGAAATAATATAGTATAGTATAGTAATATATATTATAAATAATTGAAAAATTGAAAAGCAACAATATTAGAAAATAAGAAGAGTTTATTCATACATTACATATGAAATTGACTATTTATTGGCAAATGTTAAAGAAGAATTAAAATTGTTTTTACGTTAATATAACAAACATAAGTATACATTTTTTAAATTAATTTTTTATATGCTCTATATTATTAAATTTTATGTAACATATATAAATAATTTTTTATATTATATAATTAATAACTTATATAATACTATATATAAATTCAATGTTATATATTATATATATAATTAATTCTTTATATGATTTATATAATTAATTTTTTATATAAAGTTTTTCCAAAAGTGGCCAAATCTTTTAATTATCTTTTAATTGATTTAACTTTCTTTTTTTTTAATTTTTGTTATTGAACTGTTAATAATTATTAAATGTAATAAATTTCATAAAATTTAAAATTCACTATGGTTGAACCATAATAATTTCATTTTATTTACTTACTGTTGCTTATATTTATGATAATGTTAAAGCCATAAATTCTATGATCTATCTATGATATGTATATTTTAATATAAAAAATTGAGTTTATAATAAATATATAATTATATTACGATATATATATATATATTAATTATATTTAATATATGTTGTGATATATTTGATTTATGTATATACGTAATGTGTACAATTAATTCAAAAATTTGTATACAAAAATCTTAAATTTCAAAATATTTATTATTAGCTAATTAATTAAGATATTTGAAATGTATATTCTTGATTTTAAATAATATTTTTGTACGAAATTTTTTTGTCATTTTTATATAATCTCGTCATATACCTTAAAGTAGTGTTTTTCAACCCAAAACAATCTGCAGAACGGAAAAATATTTTTTAAAGATAGGCGCCATTATCTTCACAAAAAATATTGTGGTTAGAGATAAAAATTACAATATATTACTACAGATCGGTATTGGTACACAAATAGTTAAAAACCCCTGTTTTATGAATACAAAATATAAAAAAAAATTTTATAGCTAACATAATTTTTATTAAACTAGCAACACAAAAACTGTAGTGCTTAATAAAAGTGATTTTAATGATGATAATGTTTCTACCATAGATTAACTCAAAAACTTCAGTGCAATAGCGAACCCTTCCTTTTTGGAGTAATCAAGTCATGACAAGTATTAGTCGCAAAATGGTTTTTCATGGACTATAAATATAGTCCACTTCATTCAGAAATGCCAATGAACAATAACTACAATAATAACTATAATAATGACATATAATGATTATATTCACTTTCATAATGATTATATTCGATGATACAAAACCAAATGACATTCAAATTAACATTCTATTCTGTTGTTGTAACCCGAAAAGACCCGCTGTTGTTATTGTTGGGATAAGGCAAACGGCACTAAGTCTTGCACTTAAAAAGACAGATTATTACGAGATGTAGACCCTACCAGTACTGCATACAAAATTATATTCTCCATTGAATTATCGTTTAATATGGCAGTTATACAACTATATAGCTTTCAATTAATTTTTAATACTAATTAATTAAAGTCTTATTAGTTACTGAAGATTTTTAAAACATGTTTGATTGTAAGTTACAAGCAATATCAGCAGAGACACACCATGTATTGAATCCAATTTATTGTCGCATTTTTTAAAAGACTTTATGCTTTAAATTTTCTGAAAGTAAGGAGTCTCCAAACTATTCTTAATTTAAATTCAATTTACCTTCAATGTAATATAAATATTTCTACTTGTAATTGTACAAATTAAGATCTTTCAAAAAGATCCTTATATATTTAGTGTGAATGGAGTTTTACTTGCAGGTTCGAAACTGATTAAGGTGTAAACTCTTAAATTTTTTTTTTCGATAAACTCTCGCTCACTTTATTCGGATCAACAGTAATAGCCCAACCAACACAATAGGTCATCTTTGAGGAAATTATGTTCATTACAGAAAACGACCCTTTACCCTACTTTCGACCTTAGTTGTTGAACCTAGTAAAGTAACCGATCGTATAGGATTAGCTTCAAACCCAGATGCAGGTACATAACCAGATTTATAACATAATTATATGTATTCATGTCCTAAATAGTTTATAGAAAGTTAAATCTTATAACATCAATAAAATAATGTTATTAAACTTTTCATGTCCTGTAACTAAAATTTTTTTTTGAAAACTAATAATCGATTAGAAGAGTTTTGCAGGATGTTTGCGTATAACAATATGAGGTTCCGCTACCAACACAGAGTTTTGTTTTTAAGTTTAGTTGTTAATAATAAAATCTCAATACTCTCTCGTAAACATTTATAAACTTTATCATCATTATTAGCTATACGATTATAGCTGAATGAATATTTGCTGCCTTGATGTTATTCGTTATATATTATTGTATAAATAAATTTTGTGGAATTCAAATTTAAAAATAGCTGAGATTATTATAAATAATTTATGCACAAAAGTAAAAATAATTTAAAATTTGTGATGTAACTGAAATTTTAAACAATAATTTTGTTTATCATAGAATGATCCTTTAAAGTTAATCCAGACATGTAAATGAATTAATTTGAGTTTTATAAATAAAGGCATTTATTAAAAGAATTCAACAACAATTTATATTGCCAAAATATATTTTATATTTAAAGAACAAATAATTGCAATTCATTTTTATTTTGATTTTTTTTATTGATTATTATTTTTAATTCACAGCTTCTAATTGTTCAAGTTTACTGGTTGTCGCTGGCGTTCCACTACCGCCTGGTACTGTTGTACGTCCTCGATATATGTTACTATTTAAATCAATAGAGAAATTGTAATCCACTGGATTTGCTAAGGCATGTTCGATAGCTTCATCGAGTTTTTCTAATGTTATAAATGTTTTAGCATTTTCCTGAAAAATAAATAAATAATATATATAATATTTATAATATGTATAAATAATAAATTTGTAATAATCTATTGATGTTCAATAAATTATAATTATATTGATATTGATATATTGATATTCAGATGTCTGAGTTGGTGAATCAGCACCTTTACTCTATTTTATCTGTGGACAATTTTAAGTCACACTAAATACGGGGCTTTACGGGGCTTTATAATATGATGGATCTGATATCTTTGTATCTACCTGTGTTTATCAAATTTCGCTGTATTTTTAGGATACTGAGTGTTGGATTATTGTGACTGTCAATTGTATTGAATAGTTTTAGAGCACGATCTTTAATGTATTTTTCAACTGAATCCACTCTCAGATCTCTGTGGATATCAGCTCCTCTTACATACCATGGGGCGTCGACCAGTTTTCTTAAGGCAATATTTTGCCCTCTTTGAAGAATTTTTAAAGTTGAGCTTGGCGCTTGGCAAAACGCTATACTGCCATATAGTAGTCCTGGTTTAATAATTTGCTTAAATATGCTAACTCTATTCTTTATGTTGAGCTTTTTGCTGCTGATGAGCGGGTGAAGGGAGTGTAATATTCGGGCAGCTTGAGCTCGTTTGGACTTGAAATGTGCTTTCCAGGAGTGCTTGTTATCAAAGGTTATGCCTAGGTATTTGAGAGTATCGGCCCATTCTATTTCTTGTTCTTCTACCTTTAATTTTCACACATACACACTTGATAAGATATAATAACTGAAATAGTGACAAAAGGGGTCTGAATCTAAAAAGAGTCAATAAAAGCAAAATTCATGTCAGACCGTTAGATTAGTAAGTTTGAGAGGTAATATTCTGTCATCTCACACAAGGAGATCCAGTCACAATCCTTAAAAGTCGGAGTTACAAATATATTATATAATATAAAAGCACATTCTCCACGTAGGGATAATGAAAATTTGAGAGTACACTCTGTGATAATAATATATGAAGGCACATAAAAATTTGATGGCACATTCTGTGATTCAATTGGAATATAAATATTTTGTCAAAATTATATAAAAAAGAAAAATTCAATATCAATATAAAAAAGATGATTTTTATCTGAAGATAAAAGTTAAAATACAAAGACACAGTTGTGACAGCATGGTTTTTGAATTCGTTGCAACTATATATACTTTAAGGCATGAGAATTTTAACAGTTTTCGGCGGTAAACTATTTACAAATTATGCAAAAGATTACTTAAGCCGTCATTACATTTGCAATAAATGGAATTGAGGTAATAATTACGTGCAACAATACTACAAGGTACAATAAATATTTAATCATATAATCTTTGCATTTACTCAGATATTTATATACAGTCTAGAATAAACCACGAAGCACTTGCTAAAAACAAGACATATTACAGTTTTTTAAAGATGTAGTAATCATAAAATATTAAACAACTCAATATAAATGGTATGAAGTCCTTAAACTATGAGAAATGCACATGTAGACACAGATATAAATGTTTTAAGAATTGCAAGAAATGCGGGGTTCACGTCTTTAAACCGCTAATCGAGTTAGACGACCAAGTGCCATTCGCTACACCTATAAGGGACTACGCTAGCAGATTCCTACGATGTTCTTACAACAACACATTTTTAAATACTTCATATTTTGATATAGATAGATAAAAACAGCATAAAACTTATTATAGATAATTCAATCAAATTTGAATTATATGTTTTATAAAGATATTATATAAACACAGATACAAGAAGTTGTAGTACATTCTCAAAAAGGAAACCGCTGAAATTATTTCAGAGAATACAGTTAAAGCCTTTAATAAATTTCAAATATCAAAACAACTTAAAAGGAGGTAAAAACAGAAAACAGATCAAATCAGTGACGCCTAAGATGGTTCCGCATATACAATAGGAACAAAACTGCACTATTTCTCCATACAACACTCTAATATGATAACCAATTCACTTACTTTTTCTTTTCGGACTATTTCTTCAGCGCGTTCTAAACGTTCTTCGTGCCGAATTTTAGCCAACTCAATGCGTTCCTTAATCAGATTAACTCTTTCAGCACGTTC